TTTTTTTAGAGAAACAAACTTCATTAAGGCATAGCTTTTGCTTGCAAACTGAGACCAACATGTAATAACAACAGAGGCAAAGCTGATGGTATTGCAGAGCTTCAAAATACAAATACAAAAGACCTTAACACAAGAGTTAGCTTCTTCTACTCATCCTCCACTTTCTTCTACTTTAGACCAAATGCTATCACCAGATACTACTGTACACCCCAAAAAGATCATTCATCTAGTTAATGTAGTTTCTGTTGCCTCTACATCTTCCGTAACAACTGTTTCCTCATCTGTTCAACACAAGTAATAAGTTAACACTTTATACCCAATAGTAGAGAAAGATCTGTTGAATAACCTTGCTTTTGTGGAGATGAATCACCTCCAGGACCAGCTTCAGTAGCAGCACCAACGTCTGTTGTTAACGTATTACTCAATGGCTCTACATTCGCCTGATCAAGAGTAGCCGATGATGGTTCTGTGTTCACAGCGTCCTGCAGAGTATATTCAGTATAAATTCTGGTAAGAAACAGCATCACTCCAAACAGCTGGAGAAAATCATTAATACCATATTGAGTTGAGAAGGATCTTGATCTTTCACATCAGAGGTTACAGCAGCAGTTTCTTCCTCCTGTGGTCTCGCAGTGTTTACATTGGCATCGGCAGTGTCAACCATAGGTGTGTCCATATCATTTGAATCTGCAATCTTCTTGTTAGCATCATCAGAAGGATCCACTGGACCAGCTTGTTGGCTACTACCTGCTGCATCCTTGCTCAAAATTCTCTGTGACTTTTCTCTATGATCACAATCAAGATCCGACGTAGCAGGCCTTTTCCTGCTAACAACCAACAAAATCAAACATGCTCTAGAACAAATGCGCTTAAAAGAGAAACTATAACTTAACACTTACCCACTGCTAACGCTTGGATCTACCGTTTGAACTGAGCTGTGTCTGTTTGAAAACAAAAAACCCCGAAGCACCTTTCCATCAATGATTGTTTCTATACTGTAACCTAACGGGACGTTTTCAGTAACCCTGGCGTTAAAAACTGTTTTCCTCTGATCAATCGAGCCAATGCTCAAAGGGAGATTCTCTCTTCCTGCAACAAAACCATACATTTATGGTAAATGCAACTTCCTCGTATAAGAGTTATGTGTTAACAACACACCTTGATTAGTGCTGGTTCCGGCCACAGCTAGTTTCTGCTCTTGGCATTTTAACTTCATTTGTTTCCTTAAAGACAACCTCCCTAGAGTTTGATCAAGGCGTGCATTGTATCCACCATCTGTTGGCAATAAGCATAGAAGATTAGGAGAATAATAAGCAACCTTCCAAGTGAAAGGTAGAAACAAAACCTGTGTGCAGGTAGTAGATGTCATCCAACGGCTCAAGACTCTTATTGCAGCCACCAAGAAAGAAAAAAGAACCAGCCTTGTAAGGACTTAAACACACTGCTCCAGTACAGAATCTAGCAGATGGCCCTTCTTCCATGGCAACTACCTTGGACCATACACCCATTTCTACAATAATATTTATTTTGATATCAGAAGACAGATAAAGCAATTAAAGGCGTGAGGTCTAAGTTACATACCCACATCAAGCACATAGAGATCATCATAAAGATTCTGAGAATCCGTAAACCCTCCAAATACAAATAAGTTCCTCTCAAGTGCAACAGTGACATGACCAGCTCGAGGTGTTAACACCTGCCCCGATGTTTTCATCTGCTTCCATACAAACGTTTCTGAAAAATATAGAACCAGAAAATATCAAAAGACATATACACACACACACATGCATAAAAAGATTATGTGATTCAATAATGATTTTTGGACCTGTATCAAGAATATGAACATCGGAGAGATAATAGTCATCCAAATCTTCACCACCTACTACTATGATTTTGTTCTTCCAAATTGAGCTAGTGTGGCTATCTCGTGCAGAGGGTGGATTCCCAGCTGTTACAGCTCGTTGCCACATTAAAGTCTCTAAAACAGGATTAAAGCCAGTTTCAAAACATGCGTCTACAAAACAGTAGCATATGAAGAAAAATAGTAAGGAAACTGGAAAGGCAGCTAGAAGCTCTACCTGTGTTGAGTATGTAAAGGTCATTATAGAAGACTTCATCATCTGAACCAGAAGCTTTCCCACAGCCGCCAAATATGAAAATGCGTTTGCCAACAAGCGTCGCACTATGAGCCTCTCTTGCCTCGGGTCCTTCACCTCTAGCATCCACGCATTTCCAAGTATGTGAAGCTATCACACACACACACACACACAAAGCAATTAGACTCAAACCTCACATCATCAACAGTTAATAAGAAGAGATGGGAAGAGCTTACAAGTATCTAGCACGTGCAGATCCTTGAGGTGAGTTTTCCCATCAGTACCACCAAACACAAAAAGGTTATCCCCAACCGTTGTACAGCTGTGACTATCTCTCGGAGAAGGAGGCGAACCACTGATCACCGGCTTACTCCATATCTGCGTTTCTGCAACAAAAGTCGCCCCAACAACAAAACATTCTGAAAAGAAGGCTATAGGTAAGCAACATCAACACAATAACATCCCAACAAATAAATAATCAGTCTTCAACAAGAATCACCAAAGTCTACATAAACCAAAGCGTAATACAACGAGGAAAGAAACAACGGATACGTACAAAAAGGACAAAGATCAAGATAAGCTACAAAAGAAGATAACTTTTAGAGAATAGTGTATAGTAGATAAGTAGGTAAATGGGGTCTACCACACGAACGTACAAAAAAGATTTACACATAATCGTTACACAGATCAAACAAAGACTGAGACTTTTGTAAAACCCACTACAAGAACTCACCAGCGTCAAAGACATGAACTTGATTAGTTAAGCAACCCTCACTACCAAAACCACCGAATACGTAGACAAATCTACCTCCTTTAACGGCGTTACATGTGTGTCCCCACCTCTTCCCTGACCCGGAAGTAGAATCACTTAGACCCACTTGTTGGTTTTGTTGTCTGACCCTCTCCCATCTCATTTTTTCGTGGTAAAGAAAAAAGATTCTTCCTTTGTGTTGGGAAAGTGCGGGAAAACTCTAAAGGAGGTTATAAAATTGAAGATGGGAAACCCAAAATGCAAATGATTCTTTAATTCTTACGGCGATACAGAGGATAAATGGTGGTGCTGCTCTGTTTTTAGCTTCTTTTTTTTTTCTTAACAATGGCAACGGCAAACGTGACAAACGGAGCTTTTTCGCGTTTGCGATTACTTAATAAATCCATTGAGTTATTTTCCTCGACCATCAACTCTGTCCAGTGAATAATTAACTACACTCTGATGATATTAACTGCACATTAAATTTTATTTTTTCGTTTCTTTAAAAAACTTTACTGCAATGAATCTATAAATAGTTTACACAGTCATGGGTTAATAATATCATATTATAATATTTATCTACATGACATAAAATGACTGAGCAAAAATGAGATACATAAAAGATTTTTTTAGAAAATAAATATAACAATAATTTAATGCACAAAACAAATGTAAAACTATGTAGTAGTAGTAAGATCAAGAGAATGTTACAGAAATGTGACTTTTGATGTCAAAAAAAAAAAAATTGTATGCTCTTATCATCATTATCTTTTTTTTTTGTCAGTTTACTCGAATAGACAATGATGGGACTTGGTTGCTCAACAAGATCTTCTTGATTGACATCGATGGGACTTTGGATTCAATGTTAAAGACAAGAACCCGAACTAGCCTAAATTAATTTCATTTCCAACAAATTTTAACGGTAATAATAATCTTACTGTGACTCACAAAGTTAAACATTAACCACTTTTATAGTCAGGATAATTGAGTCTTTTGCAGCAAACCCTTTCATGGACCAGTAATGAAACCAATCAGTAGTAGAATCGACCTAGTGCTAAGATCCCCTGAGTATTAAAAAGTGAGAGTAATTAGTAGAGAAGAGTTGTCAACTCATTATGATTCGAGTATTGTAAAGAGTTCCTTACAATCATAACAAGAAACCAATTTTCCCAAAACGAACCAAGTCATCTATATATGATCTATCTACACATTAATAAAGCTAGCTGTTACAGTCACATGAAGAAACTCAAAAAAAAAAAAAACCGTGTGTGTTTCCAACAGTTGTAGATAGTTCATTGGAAACACATGACTTCACTTCTCACAAAATCGAATACATTTTCAGTCAAGGAAACATTTCACTCAAAAAAAATTTAAATCGTTAAAGGAAAGAGGATCATACACTGGTTCCAAAGTAGTAGAGTCCAATCATGTTAACAATGATTTCACTGGTTCCAACATTACTGAAACCCGAAGTAATCAGCGTGTGTATACGTCCAGACATCAAGGTGTACGATGATAGCTGACCAAACATCAATCATATGGTTAAATACCAAATTATCAACAAAATCAAAGACAAGAGTTCAACAGTTAATTAAAGTTCAAAGAAAGTTTTGAACATTGTTGGTCTAACCACAAAAATTTTTGCCATCCATTTCCGGTCTGAACCATTCTTCCACATAGTAACTACAGCAACATTAGCTATTATCAATCCGAAAACAACGCCATTAGCTCCATTAAACCAAGATTTCCTGCCAGAGAAAACCCACAAGTGGACCCAAAAAAAAAAGTGAATACCGTGGACCACAAGTCAAAGCCTACTCATATAGAAGGAAAAGTATCAAGAGAGCTTTATGCTACTCAAATCAAGAACTACACCGAAATGGTAATAAAGCAACTGAATTATCATCGTCCTTTTCTGATTCCTCACATATACAAGCATGATTGAATAGAAAAGCTAAAGAGGTAATGGAATTAACAAGGTATATTAACCACATAAATCATGTCTAAATCCCTAAATTTTCAACAACTTTAAAAACTCAAGACATGTTTCTCTCGGAAAACAATTTTTTAAAAAGTATATATAAATATAAATACCATTAGTTACAATGTAAAACCAGAAGTCTAAAGATTATAGAGAAAGAGACACAGACATTTCAGAATCCAAGCTCAGTTGTGTAGAGTAAATACCATCTACGTTTTTGAAACCCAGTGAAAACGCAAGGCTTAGGAAGAAGCTGAGGATCTAAGAACCCAGCTCTAGATTCCAAGAGACTTCCAGGTTTCAGCTTCAGATGTGTGTTTCTCAACGTGCTGGTAAAGAAACCATGAATCTCTGATGAAGAAGACGCGTGGCCAAAAGGAAGGACGTGGCTCAAGAAATGGTGGCTATGGCTTGGGTAAGAAAAAGTGGGCTTCCTCTTCATCAGAGATTTGGTTAGCTGCCGCCAAGAACAAGAGCCAACGACAACGAACCTGCGAGGCATTTTCTTCTTCAATACATTAATTTCATATTTTACCAATGACGCATAGATAGAAAAAGAAGCTAACTCCCTCTGTTCTGTATATTATATTGTCATAAGTTATGTGTGTGCGTGTTACCAAAGTCATCTTTTTAAATATTTCAAAAAAAAAAAAAACAATTACAAAAAAACTGTGATATCACACTAGTTTAGTGATTTTAACTAATAACTTACACTTGAATTTACAAGTAGCAATTTTACTTACACAAAAAAAAAAACCTCAAGAGTTTAGGGAAGTTGTAAAGTAACTTGCAAATATTCATTAAAACATAACATACATCTATCAGATTAACGATATAATTCATGTTCTCTCCTTGTCTTTTCTACGTCAGTTTAGTGCAAACTATAATTCATTATTTGTTCCATAAGTTCTTCTTGATTGACAGACATCAAAAGAAGAGAGCAAAATGATTGCTATGGAACTTGGATCACAAGTTAAACAAAACACAAACTACCCTAAATAATTTCGTTGTCCAAAATGTCAAAATGGTAATAATAATCTTATTGCGACTCAAAAAAGTTAAACATAATCCCCTGTTATGAACTTATGATCATAGTCTTTTGCAGCTAAATTCAAGGACTCAAGGAGCAGTAATCAATAGTTGAATCGACCTTTCTTAATCTGCTTCCACGCAATGGCTGCAACCATAGCTCCTCCCACAGCGTGAATCGAACCCCCGGTGATACTCTTCTGTTCCCCCTGCAATCTCCAAGAAGTTAGTCCAGTTTAAAGAGATATTCAGATTGTTTCCAAACAGATGGTAGGTAGATTAGATTTATCAGATACGCACATCTAACACCTTCAAAAAGTCGCTTGCCACGTATAACATTCCCTGAGTATTAAAGAGTAATTAGCAAAGAGTTTCACTCTCATTCATTATGACGAGTATGTAGTAAAAGATGGAGTCCTTACAAGCATTAGGGGTACTCGGCAAATAAACTCAAAGTATGTAGTAACTCTTGGGTAGAGGCAGAGATCAAGCAGTGCAATGGCATATACAGATCTCTCTGGACCCTGCAGACAAGTTGGAAAGAGTTTACCTCATCAGCATCATTTGGTGATTCGAAACAAGAACCTCTGCTTATCTCTCACACACACTCCCAAAGATGCTCTGACAAATTCATATAACTGGATGAATAAAAGAAACATACCAGGAATGCACTGACTTGTGATTGATCCATGTTGGAAACTCCTTGGTTCTGTATTATTGAACAAACCAATATACAAGGTAAATACTAACAATGTGAAAAAAACTACTTCTCTATGGATGTATCTAGCATGATTTGAGAGCAAGGAAACTATTATGGTTACCTTGAGAATTGCCATTACACCATGAAGACTTATGAAGAGAAAAGAGCCAGCAAGTGATCCAGCAAAGTAGAGCTTCAAAAGGTAGACCGGTCCCAAGGTTCTTGCGATCTAATTAACAACAAAGGGTTTTATAAAATACTTTCACTCAAAGGAAACATTCTAGTCAGCGTTAAAGGGAAGAAGGTCATACGCTGGAGCCAAAGTAGTAGACTCCAAACATGTTCATGATGAGTTGACTGGTTCCAACATTCGTGAAACCCGAAGTTATCAGCGTGTGTATACGTCCAGTCATAAAGGTGTGCGATGATAGCTGACCAAAACATAAATGATTTAAGTTAAAATATACAAGAAACAAGAGCTGAACTCATCAAAATAAAGATTAATTAGAGCTTTGGACATTAATTAATTGTTTGGTCTGACCACAAAGTTTCTGAGCATCCATTTCCGGTCTGAATTCTTCCACATAGTAAACACAGCAGCATTAGCTATTATCAATCCGAAGACAACACCATTAGCTCCATTAAACCATGACTTCCTGCCAGAGGAAAAACACCGTTGAACTCAAGTGAAAACTAATCTACTCCATACACAAAATAAAAATGTGACAGTTAATAAAATTAGAAACTTTACAAACATTTTTTTTTTTTTTTTTACTTTACAAACATAATAAAGACAAGTTTCTCCGACAAAAACAAAAGGAAGGTTGATCGATTAAGCTACTAAATAAAAAAAAAAATCATATCCAGGCTGGCTCAGTTGTATAAATAAGAAAGTTAATGTAAAGAGTAAATAAGAGATAATACCATACCATCCACGTTTTTGAAAGCCAGTGAAAACCCAAGGCTTAGGAAGAAGCTGAGGATCTAAGAACCCAGCTCTAGCTTCCAAGAGAGTACTTCCGGTTTTCAGCTTCATACGGATGTTTCTCAACGTGTCGGAGTCTGAGGAGAAGCCATGAGCTTTATCAGGATCAACGCGGATTACAGAAGACGAAGAAGAAGAAGAAGCGAGGCGAGAAGGAAGAAGATGGCGGCTGCTCTGGCTCCAGTGAGAAAACGCGAGCATCTTCTTCTTCGTCGTCGTCATCAGAGAAGGAGAAGAGGCAACGACGAGGACCAACCTGCGAGAGAAAACCGCATGCATTTTCTTTTGTCTTTTCCTTCCTCAAAAATTCATTTCAATTTTTTTTTACCCAAGGGAGCATATATACATAGAAGAAGAAGACAAAAAAACCATGTAACGTCTTGTATAGTGTATTATCATGAGGTATGTGTGTTTACCAAAGTTAGCTTTTTTATATAGTGCAATACTTTTTTTTTAGTTTGTTATATAATGCAACAAAAAAATGATATCACACTAGTCAGTGATTACAGCTTAATTTACAAGTTATAAGGTAAAAACATAATTTTTTTCTCAATATCTATCAAATTTATACTATTATTGAAGAAGTGATCTTGTTTTTTTGTCATCTTATCCATGATTTTAGATTATTTTATTTATGTGTCATGTTTTAATTAATTTTCAAATGGTTTATTAATTTATTTAATCTTAATATCTATATATATTATTATTTAAAAAGTAAAATTTTTGTTTAATTGTCATATTCTCCATAATTAACATATAATTATGTGACATTTACTATGAAACGGATGGAGTAATTAACTATAAATTAGAAATAAATTAACATATAATTAACCATGACTAAAAATAAATTTCATTGATTGGATGATTATCATTAATCTAAAAACATAAACTTAAAAGTAAGTTAATTGGCCATTAATTTAAACTTAGTTTTATTGATTTGATAATTATCATTATCTAAAAATAATTCATATTATTGTTACAAAAATCTTTATAAATGTTAATATATAATTAACCATAAATTTAAAATAAATTTCTTTTTTTTTGGTCTAATTAAAAATAAATTTCATTGAAAAAAAAAGAAGGGAAAATCTCCAAAACTTTGAAAGTAAGAACCTTTCATGAAAAATAAGAAAAAACTATAATTAACACAACCTTTAATTTTCTTCACTTCCTCCTCCTCTGTGATTTTCGGAATGGCCTCCTCCTCAAAGCTTAGACCATGTAGTAGTACTGTAGTAGTAAGATCGAGAGAATGTTACAGAAATGTGACTTTTGATATTAAAAAAAAAAGTTGTATACTCTTATCATCATTATCTTTTTTTTGTCAGTTTACTCGAATAGACAATGATGGGACTTGTATTCAATGTTAAAGACAAGAACCCGAACTAGCCTAAACTAATTTCATTGCCCAAAATTTTTAACGGTAATAATAATCTCATTGTGACTCACAAAGTTAAACATTAAACCACTCTTATGGTCAGGACAATTGAGTCTTTTGCAGCAAACCCCTTCATAGACCAGTAATGAAACCAATCAGTAGTAGAATCGACCTTTCCTAATCTGCCTCCACGCAATGGCTGCAACCATAGCTCCTCCTCCCGTGTTAATCGAAGCCATGGTGACAGTCTTCTTCTTCCCCTGCAATTTCCAAGAAGTTGGTCCAGTTTAAGAGATAGTCAATATTGTTTCCAAGCAAATGTAGATTAGATTATCAGATACACACACCTCTAGCACCGTTAACAAGTCTTGTCCTAGGCCTAAGATTCCCTGAGTATAAAAGAGTGAGAGTAATTAGTAGATAAGAGTTTTCACTCTCATTATGATATTGTAAAGAGTTCCTTACAATCATTACGGGTACTCGGAAAATAAACGCAAAGTGTGTAGTAACTTTAGGGTAGAGGAAGATATCAAGTAGTGTAATGGCATATACAGGTTGTGAAAGAGTTTACCTCATCAGCTTTTGCTGATTCGAAACAATTTGCTCTAACAAAATATTTAACAGGATGTATAAGAAACTTACCAGAAACAAAAGGGTGAGTTTTGATTGATCCTTGAACGAAACTCCTTGGCTCTGTATGATTGAACAACCAATATAGAAGGTAAATATTTTTTGAAAAAACTAGTTATTTGTGGATCTACTATGATTTGAGAGTAAGGAAACTATTCTAGTTGGTAGATATTACCTTGAGTATTGCCATTACACCATGAACACCTATGAAGAGAAGAGAGCCAGCAAGTGTTCCAGCAAAGTACAGCTTCAAAAGGTAGAGCGGTCCCAAAGTTCTTGAGATCTAACAGCATTAGGTTAAGAAATGGAGATTATAAAAAATTTATCAATAACAGGAAACCAAATTTCAAAAAAAAGAACCAAGTCATCTATCTATTCACTAGTAAGAGCCAACTGTTACAGTCACATGAAGAAACTCAGAAACAAAAACCGTGTGTGTTTCCAACAGTTGTAGATAGCTATAGTTCATAGGAAACACATGAATTCACTTCTCACAAACCGAATGTATCATCACTCTAAAATATTAAGGAAAGAAGAGGCCATACTCTGGTCCCAAAGTAGTAGAGTCCAAACATGTTAACGATGAGTTGACTAGTTCCAACATTACTGAACCCCGAAGTTATCAGCGTGTGTATACGTCCAGACATAAAGGTGTACGATGATAGCTAGACCAAAACATCATATGGTTAAATACCAAATTATCAACAAAATCCAAGACAAGAGTTCAAAACAGTAACATAAAAATAAGAGCTTTGAATAACATTGTTTGGTCTGACCACAAAATTTTTCGCCATCCATGTCTTGTCTGAATTCTTCCACATAGTAAATACAGCAACATTAGCTATTATCAATCCGAAAACAACGCCATTACCTCCATTAAACCAAGACTTCCTGCCACTGGAAACACACAAGTTAACCCAAAAAAAAAAACACAAGTGAAAAGCCTACTCCTTTAATACAAATTAAAGTTGAATAAGCTACTAGTCTATTCTCTATAAGAGGAAAAGCATCAAAAGAGCTTTCTGCTCCTACTCAAATCATGAACAACACAGAAATGGTGAAAAAAGCAAGTAAAGCATCGTCCTTTTTCTGATTCCTCACATATCCCAAACATGATTAATCAAGAAAAGCTTAAGAAAATAGTGAAACAAAGTACATTAACCACACACACAAAAAAAAAACTCAGAGAAAAATGTGGATTATCTACTAAATATAAAACCTGAAGTCTGAAGATTATAGAGAAAGAGACACAAACATTTAAGAATCTAAGCTCAGTTGTGTAAGAAACAAATACCTACCATCCACGTTTTTGAAACCCAGTGAAAACCCAAGGTTTTGGAGGAAGCTGAGGATCTAAGAACCCAGCTCTAGACTCCAAGAGAGTACTTCCGGGTTTCAACTTCAGATGTGTGTTGTTTCTCAACGTGCTGGCAAAGAACCCATGAATCTCTGATGGAAGGAGATGGCTTGTGTAAGGGAAAGCGGGCTTCTTCTTCTTCATCATAGATGAAGAAGAGCCAACGCCAACGACGAACTTGCGAGAGAAAATGGCATGCATTTTTCTTTTTGTCTTTTTCGTCTACAAAAATCAAATTTCAAATTTTTTTTACCAAATGACGCATAGATATATAGAAAAATAAGCATGTCACTTCTGTATATTATATGACTCATGAGTTATGTGTGTTACCAAAGACAGCTGTTTTTTTTTTAACAGAAAAAATGATACGAATAAGTGAAATGACGAAAGCCTGAAGAAGAAGAAAAAAAAGGCAAAATCTGCAAAACTTGGAAAGTAAAGCCTTTCTTAAAAAATTAAGATTAAAACTTTGAGGATATAAAATTTACAAAAAAAAAACTTTGAGGATATAAGTGTAATTATCATAACCTTAATTTTCTTCTCTTCCTCTGTAATTGATTTCATAATGGCAAAATCTTCAAAAAATTGAAAGTAAAAGCTTTTTTTTGTAAATTTCTTAAAACTGAGGCACTTGATGTAAAACCGTTTTTGTTTGAATAAAATTTTACATTCATTCAAAAAAAAAAGAAAAAAAGTAAAAGCCTTTCTTTGAAATAAAATAAAAACTTTGAGGATACAAATGTAATTAACCACAAACCTTAATTTCTCTTACACGACATCCTCTTCTTCTTCCTTACCTCCTCTGTAATTGATTTCAGAACAATGGCCTCCTCCTCCTCAAAGCTAAAACCTTTCATCAACAATCTCCGTCGCTACCAGAACCGATCTCTATCTTCTTCAAACCAATCAAACTACAGAAAACAAATCCTACTCGCAAACCTCCTCCAACGCTACGGCTTCCCTCCCTCTTCTCTCCAACACTTCCTCTCAAAAAACCTTTTCCTCTCAAACTCAGATCTCTCCGAAACAGAAGCTTCTCTCTCCATCTTACTCTCCTTGAAACTCCCTCAGAAACAACTCGTCTCCTTAATCCAAGACTCCCCTAACATCCTCCGCCCAAACTTCTTGAGAAAATGGAGAGATCCTCTCTCTGAGAGGAGCGTCTCGTCTTCAGCCATCAAGAGCGTCCTCGAACACTCGAGTAGATTCGGGATAGGCCTAGATAAGTTTCACGAATGCGTTAACGTGTTGAGAGGTTTAGGGTTTTGTGATAGTACTGTTAGTAAAGTTATTGAAGCCTTCCCTAACGTTCTTGTAGTGAAAGAGATTGATATTCGTAGAAAGGTTGAGTTTTTAGTTGGTATCGACATTCATGAGATTGAGAGGTTCTTTTACGTTTTCCCGGAGATCTTAGGGTTTAGTGTTGAGTCTAGGCTTAAGCCGTTGCTTGATGAGTTTATAAAGATTGGGTTTAGTAGAGATGAGATCAAGAAAGAGATTGTTAGAGAGCCGAGAGTTCTTGGTTTGGAGTTAGGTGAGCTTCCACGGTGTTTGGAGTTGATAAAGTCGTTAAAATGCCGTGAAGTGATTAGAGATGAGATTCTTGAGGAGGGAATGTTCCGTGGTGGGTTTGAAGTGAAGCTTAGAGTTGATTGTTTGTGTAAACACGGGTTGATTCGGAGAGATGCGTTTAAAGTTGTGTGGAAAGAGCCGAGGGTGGTTTTGTATGAGGTTGATGAGGTTGAGAAGAAGATTGAGTTTTTGAGTAATAGGATGGGGTTTAATGTTAACTGTTTAGTAGATGTGCCTGAGTATCTTGGGGTGAATTTTCAGAAGCAGATTGTGCCGAGGTATAATGTGGTTGAGTATTTGAGGCTTAGAGGTGGGCTTGGGTGTGATATTGGGTTGAAAGGTTTGATTAAACCAAGTATGAAGAGATTCTATAACTTGTATGTGAAACCATATCCAGAGTGTGAAAGAATCTTTGGGAAGAGAAGGGAGGATGCAGGGGTGAAGAAACGACATCCTGTTGGGCTTTGGAAGCTTATGAAGCCGCCTAGTCATGTAACAACTAAAGAAGATGTTGTGAACATGAAGTCTTTTGTAGAGTCACTTGCTTAGTTAGATGGATTCTCACTCCCTGACTTGATTAACTACAAGCTACTCAGAGTCGGATATGTGTTTTCTGGAAACTCTCATGAGCTTTTGAATCTGATTTCATTTCCCTTTGAGTTAATGGCTTGATTATTCAGAGGACAATGCATCTTCCTTAAGTAAAAAAACACGCTTTGTAGTCACTGTCTTTTGTTTCACTGTCTATGCCTGAAGGATTTGCTGATCAAATGTAAAGACTTTGGTTCTAAATCAGCTCGAGCTTGTTCCAACCTTTAACTACCAAGTAGAATTATTTCGTGGGGGCCGCGGTGCTATCAGCCCGTGTTGGCAACTTTTAGAACAACCAAATGCATCTCCAGGCAGGTATAATTAAAGAAGTATGTACTATGCAGGATCAACCATTCATATGTGGTTAACATCAACATGAAGTCCTTTGTAGGGTCACTTGCTTAGTTAGATGGAATCTTGCACTGCTCGAAAATTGGTCAATCCTTGTGGATTCTCGCTCCCTGGCTTTATTTATTACCAGCTGCTCTTAGTCCATATCTGTTATCTGTAATCTGTAATCTCCCGTGAGCTAGTGATTCTGATTTCAGCTCCCTTGAGTGAATTGGCTTTGATTATTCAGAGCACAGTGCGTCTTCATTGCAGTCATGCCCACTTCTCGTTATGCATCTACCAACGGCCCGTTGCCTTTTGCTTCAGTGTCTATGTGACTTTAACTACTAGTTAGAAATATTTCTTGGGCCGGACTGGCTAGTGGCCTGTTTTGGCAATGATTATAAGCAAAAAAAAACCAATGCCTGTCCAGAGGTATCAACGATTTTGAAAAATAAACAAAACTATAACACAAAAATGTATATAGACTAGACTTGTGAGAGCATTATCATCCGGAGGTTCTTAAATTTTGAAATAAGATAAAAAGGAGAGAAAAAGATAGAGAATTTTTTTTGTTTGTAAGGGTCCCAAAAAAATTCGGAAACACCCATTTTAGAAATAGCATTCAACTAACGACTATTTTTAAAATATAGGTAATTAAAAATATTATATATTTTTATGAGAAATTCGGTGGATTTCTTCCATGAATAATACTCTGAAATGAAATATTCGGAATATAAAAGCAAACCGACAAGTAATATAGTTGGAAAGGGTTAATGTGGATAGTATCAGTATTTAGTTATTTACAAATCATAGAGGCTAAAGCACGAACAAGTGTAAGACTTGGACGCAAAGAAGCGACAGTTGGTCAAATAACATCTTTGACTTAGTCAACGTATCTGAACAACGGTTTTTCTGTTAGAAATGGATTTACCCACACGATTTGTGACATTTGCTTTCTTCTTACGCATCATCCCAGCTTATAATGTCTCGTGAGTTCGACAACCTATGACGACCATACATAAATACATATACACATACCGTTGCCTCAACTCTATATTGCATAGGTGTCACTCTGTGTGTGTGGGTATCAATGTTGAAGGAGACAATTTTTGTGGTAAACGAGGTCGAGGCTATGTTTGGTCCACACCCCGCATCATGCATGGCCACCACCTTCTTATGTTTGGTGAATTAAATGGTATGTATATATCAATAAATGTCAAACGAGTTGAAAATGATACTCTATAATGAAAACAATAGATTGTTGATTTTACAGCCAAATATTATTTGGTTCAAGAATTTAACCCTTAAGAACATCAAAGGTCCATTACTAACACAACTGGCATTAAAATTTGGAAATATTAAAACATTCTTTGAGATAGTTGAACATGTAATAACCTATAACTTTTTTTTTATGAAACTACAAAATATTGAACAATACTTTCTACTTGAAAACCAAAAATATATTGGCCTTGAACTTAACTATAAATCAATCTACCCTCTGTCTAAATTGATTTGTATTAAATTTTGTAAGAAAGTTTATCATGTATATATATAACTATGATACTCATACCTTGTTTATTATTCATATTCTGATTGAAACCCTGTTATTGTATGGAATCCCAGTTTCGAACAATCTCCATCAATAATTAGCTGCTTAATATTAGTTGATAACCCATGGTGATATGTTATTACTTATAAGAACCCATAAAAGGTTATATTGAATTTGTGAGGTTTGTTTTTATTTTGGCTGAAAATTAGTTAACGATGTTGTCTGTAAAGTCCAGCACACATAAAATGAAAACCAAGGATCGATCTCCATCCCTTTGCAGTATATTAGAATACAAGTTTGCATGGAGGACCGACACTGTCGACTCATGTGCGTTTCTTAGGGACAATGAGGAAACAGTGACTTTTTGGTTGGGTCCAAGGGAAGCAAATCCATCTTGTTGAATGTTGATCAACGATTTCATTATTAATTTGGTTCGAGTCCCAATGGAATATCTAGGTAGAAACAACGTCCATGATTCATATTCAATTATTTATGGTCTAATCCAGTAATTAATAACTCCTCTAAATTTTTTAAAATGAAAATATTTAATTTTTAAGATTTCAAATTCCACCAAGTAAAACACTATATGTACATGGCGTGTATGACCTAGGTATGAGATGGCGTGAAGACAACAATACCAAACTCTTTTTACCAATATGCAGTAAGTATATTACTATGTACATGAGTACATCTAATTATAGGGCCATTTCGGTGATAATGGTTAAATTAGTTTGCAGAGTATTATAGTAAATAAAATATGTTGTTGGATAAAATAAAATAAAAAATTTATATGAGGAAATCAATGCAAAATTCGTATTGTTTTAAAAGAACACTCTCGAGAAATGAGGTTTTGCCATTTTTATATTATACGACAGAAATGACAAAAATATATATTTAGCTAGTACTAGCATTTCTCTAGTTACCTAGAATCTTGTAGGCTTAGACAGGTAGCCAAGTCTATAGGACTCGTTCACATTCCAGTCAAAATCGTAGACTAAACTTTAGCCGACCATGTTGGATATCGACTATCCATTAGCATAGTACTTTACATATTAGTATTGTTATTTATGTTTATACAAAGCTTCATCTTTGACTCTTTTCAACTTTCACCGTCGACCGACTTTCCATAACCGAAAAGAATAAATAATTTTAAAAGTATTCTAATAATCCTCGGAAGATATTATTGACAAAAATGTCATCCGACATCGCTAGATCCACTTGACTGTGAACGTATCAGTGTCCGCAAATGTATTGTCTAGCAGTGCGGTTGGAAGTCCTAATAAAATCAATCCTACATGTCGCTGGGGTGTGGGTACACTCAGGTTTCTAGAATTATGTTCCTTATTGTATTGGACTGTGATTTCTATCTTGGAAAGTTTTGCCAACAAAATATATCTTAAAACGGCTTGGTTAATAAAAAGGTGATACAAAATCGACATAAATTATTAGCGGATGAAAAACTATAAACACCACATGATAACTTATATGTTACTGAATTTTGTTGCTTTTCTTTTTGTTTTTAAAGTGAAAATGGTAAATTTTGTTTCTTTTGAACTGTCTTAGGTAAACATTTTACACCTTATGTGAACCTTAAAATCTAGAAAAACTCTTTAAAATTTATTTGGAGGCATAATACCACCATTCTACTCAATGTTCTAAGAATTGTTAGATTCGCTCAGAGGCGGACCCACGTTGAAAGGAATAGGGTCACCTGACACCAGTAAAATTATAAATATTTGAATTATTACAGATGATAGTAAAGAATTCTCAGCGTATTTGGTTAGAAAACCTTTCTTTGACACCCCAAAAACGCGGCTTTGATTTCCCTTGACCCCAGTTTTCGGACATTATTTTATGTTATATATTACATTGGGTTAAGGTCCATTTTTATGACCCCAGTGAAAATTAGTTCTGAGTCCGCCACTGGATTCGCCCATGGTAATGTGTATTACCTTTTGTGAGGTTAGATTAGTTTAATTTGTATAGGAAAGTAAACAAAATAATTTCACCCCAAAAAAAAAAAGTAAACAAATAACATACCATGCATGATGCAAAAAGCGATTAGATTTTGAAAAATAATTTAAGCGGTGCGAGTTGTATCTTTCTCAAGAGTATTAACCATGGTTAGACTGTATTAGGACTAATTTTTTAATTAATTAGATCTCACTTATCACCCTCATCTAACCCTAGTTAAATTTCTCCACTATATAAGAAACACTCTCACTATCCCCATCATCATCATTATCGACTGTTTCTTCTCTTTGGCTCACTATCTAAAAAACCCTAATCCATTCTACAAAAAAAAAATGGCTATTGACACGACTCTCTCCTTCGCTTTTCCATTTCTGAACCTCGACCTATGTTTCAGCATTGTCGTCTTCATCTCCCTTTTCGTTTTCTGGCTAACTCCAGGTGGCTTTGCTTGGGCACTCTACAAAGCTCGTTTCCACACCCTACAAGAATCCAAAACCCTACCCGCCATTCCTGGCCCCTCTGGTCTCCCCATCATTGGCCTCCTCTTGGCCTTCGTTAACAACGCCTTAACACACAGAATCCTCGCCAACCTCGCTAACTCTTGCAAAGCGAAAGCTCTCATGGCGTTCTCTGTCGGTTCTACCCGGTTCGTGATAACTAGCGAACCGGGGACGGCTAAAGAGCTTTTAAACAGCTCTGCTTTCGCGGACCGGCCTGTGAAAGAGTCGGCTTACGAGCTGCTCTTTCATAGAGCTATGGGGTTTGCTCCTTTTGGTGATTACTGGAGAGAGCTGAGGAGAATCTCTTCTACTCATCTCTTTAGCCCTAAGAGGATCTCTTCTTTCGGAGAGTCTCGTAGAAAAATCGGGGAAACTATGGTAGGAGAGATCAAGAACGCGATGGCGAGTTATGGAGAGGTGCATATTAAAAGAATCTTGCATTTTGGATCGCTCAACAACGTGATGTCTAGCGTCTTCGGCAAAACATATGACTTCAACGATGGTAGTATTGTTAACTCGAAAGAGGTTAATGAGTTGGAGTACTTGGTGTCTGAAGGCTATGAGCTTCTTGGAATCTTTAACTGGAGTGATCATTTCCCGGGAATGAGGTGGTTAGATTTACAAGGTGTAAGGAGAAGATGCCGTAGCTTGGTCAGTAAGGTGAATGTGTTTGTCAGAAATATAATCGACGAGCACAAATCTAAGAGGTCACTTCATGAGAGTAGTAATGATGATGACTTTGTCGATGTCTTACTTGGCATGCAAGGAAGCAGCAAACTTTCCGACTCTGATATGATCGCTGTCCTTTGGGTAAGTGCAAGTGTATATATATATATATATATATATATATATATATATATATATATATATATAATCGACTTTGTGATACATTCTTATTAAAATTATTACATTTAATGAAAAACTTAGGTTAGAGATGCTCTAAATATAAATAGCATAATCTAAACATTGTTTTTTTTTTTTGGTATAGGAAATGATATTTAGGGGAACAGATACCGTGGCGATACTATTGGAATGGATCCTTGCGAGGATGATTCTTCACCCTGACATTCAAGCCAAGGCGCAGGCCGAGATCGATGCCATCGAGGGTGAAACAGGACGTCAAGTCACAGACTCAGACCTCTCCAAGCTTCCTTACATTCGTGCCATCGTCAAGGAAACCCTAAGGATGCACCCACCTGGTCCTCTCCTCTCATGGGCTCGTCTCTCCATTCACGACACTCAGATTGGGACCCACTTTATCCCTGCTGGGACCACTGCCATGGTTAACATGTGGGCTATAACCCATGATGAAAAGGTCTGGCCGGAGGCTCATGAGTATAAGCCAGAGAGGTTTCTTGGTGCACAAGAAAGTGATAACTTTCCCATCATGGGATCTGATTTGAGGCTTGCTCCATTTGGTGCTGGACGTAGGGTCTGTCCTGGTAAGTCTATGGGTATAGCTACTGTGGAGTTATGGCTGGCTCAGTTGCTAGGTAGCTTCAAGTGGGTTCCCTGTGGTGAAGTAGATTTGAGTGAGACTTTGAAGCTCTCACTTGAGATGAAGAACTCTCTTGTTTGCAAAGTGATCCCTAGGTTCTAATAAGGGTTTCGTTGGCTATCGAACTATGCCATTCCTATCTCTATCTCTCTCTCGGTTTTGTTTGTTTTACCATGAGAGATAGCTAATTACTTTCCTTTCTTTTCTTTTTTGTCAACAGCTACATCTAAATAAATTAGTCTAAGAAGTTTGTACCGGGTTTAATGTATTGAAATTCCAATAAAATTTTTGTTTCGAGTTATTATTATCTCTCAACTTATCAAATTTTCATAGCCAAATATGTTGTAATATTTTTGCAATTAATATAAAAAGGGTTATATCTATTCCTTTTAGAGTTTTGTTTTTAATATAAAATTGCGGACATTTAAATGTCTTAATGAGAAAATCTAAACCCTAAACTGGAAAGGAGAACCTAAACAAGATATATATGTTAATTTGCTTGTAATTTATTTTGTATAAACAATAATCTTTCACATAAAATTTTATGTTAGTTTTGGAGTTTCAACTTTGATGTACTAGGTTTGGAACAGAAACTAATTTTGTAACATTGTAAGATTATATGTAATTTCTTTCAATCTTTGATAGTTTAATTTGACTTATTATTGTTGTATTATTTGGTAACAAGCTATGTTACAACTTAATATTAGGAGTTAACAAATGTGGTACGGATAACTTCATGTTCAGAGTTCTATTAGTAGTATGAAAAAGACTTATCTATCATATTCCTTAGGTTAGCCCCATAAGAGCACCCCCATCAAAGGTTTAGATGGAGGTTCACACATTTTTCAACATAAAAAAAAATATTAAAATAATCAAATCCTATAATCCCCTCTCTCCTAAAACTCTCTCTAGTGATCTCCTCTCTTATGGAGTTCATCACTGTAGCGCGGGCCACACGACACGTGGCGGCCCGCGATTGGTCTATCTTTTTTTTTTCTAGAAAAGCAAAAAAACAAAAACAAAAAAATTTAATAATAAAAAAAAAAGATGAACCCCAAGGGGGGGTTCATTGGTGTGTATGCTCTAAGACTATTTCAAAGACACTCCTCCTGATACACAAAAAGAAAATTACAATGCACAACCATGAGTTTTACTTGATTAAGATAAATTGAAATCTAAATAGTAGGGCTGGGCATTTTATCCGTTATATTTGATTCGATTCGTTATTCGTTTCGATTTGATCCGAAAATTTCGGATATCCGTAAACTTTCGAATCAAAGCAAATACTAAAATTCAATATCATCGAAGCAAATCACAAATATTAAAATTTTGGGAAGCGGATATCCGATCCGATCCGGTAATATATAAATATATGTATATCTTGATTATATTTAAAATTTAAATGTATAAAATTATATAATTATTATTCTAGCACATGAATTTAAACAATTCTATTCACATTATTACTTATATAAAAGTATTACATAAAATAGATAAAAATTTTATGAAAATTATATTTTTTCTTAAATTTTGTGTTATTATAATTGTAATTTCAACTTTAAAAAATTACAAAATATGTAAATTCACTAGTTCTTTTAATTTTTATTTTATATATCATGTAAAAAATATTTTTGCAAAGCAATTTTGTCTCAAAATCTTAAGATTATTTGTATTAATCAAAATGGATGAGATATCCGTAAATATTCGTAAATATCCGCAAATATCTATTTATTTTCCGGATACCCGTATTTTTCCGAAACAAAGGAAATAGCAAAATTAGATATTCGTAATATTCGAAGCAAATCATAAATACCTTTAAAATCCCGGATATTCGATCTGTGCCCACCCCTACTAAATAGGAGAGAAACCTTCTTTGTAAAGGAAAATGTCCAATCCGCAAATGATGTTAAGATTTGATAATGGATATATACATGTAAATGGGCCTTAACTAGCCAGACTGCTTTAAGAAATTTTGTTTTGCTAAACTTGCATTAAGAAATTCAATGCATAAAAAATTCAGCAGCACCACCCTAAACGTTGACCAAACTCAATCAACGAGTGAGACCAACCAAGGCTCTACCTACAAACGTCCATTTCTTAAACGTGACCATTTAGTTACATCAACAACCACTTCTCCTCCCCCTCACAAAATCATAGTTTGCTAACTTTTGTATATGTTTACCTCCAAATATAACAAATCTAAGTTTAATCTAGCAAACAAGATTTCTTACTTATGTAAAATTACAAATACAAAACAAGAAAAATTGCATTTGAAACAATAAAAAGTTGAATTTTACCAATGCAAAACTATTTATTTATATAAGCATTAAATCGGCTACATCAGTTTCTCTAAAACCTGAATATAATTAACTGGTTAATTAGTCGTTTCTATTAAAATGATGCGAGCCATCATCACCTACCTAAACATCTTTCCTTCTATTTATAAACCTATTTTCTCATCTCTTACACATCTTCTTCCATAACAGCTTCCCTACTTATCCTCTGACTCTATCACTCAAGATCATCCCCAATGGAACCGAACACGACACAAAACGGATCCCAACCCGAGCTCTCAGAGTTCGAGAAGACACAAAAGAAGTACCAAGACTTCATCTCTTCCCTCCCAAAGACCAAAGGATGGAGACCAAACGAGATCCTAACCCAACACAACGGACACTGGTGGCAAGAATGTCTCCTCGAAGGCCTCCTCCACGCCAAAGACCATTTCCAACCACGACCCACCGACTTCCTCATCTGCAGCTACCCAAAAACCGGTACAACCTGGCTCAAAGCACTAACATACGCCATCGTAAACCGTTCTCGTTTCAACGACGCTACAAACCCTCTCCTCAAACGTAACCCTCACGAGTTCGTGCCTTACGTAGAGATAGACTTCGCGTTTTACCCGACCGTTGACGTTCTCCAAGACGGCAAGAACCCGCTTTACTCCACTCATATACCCAACGGATCATTACCAGAGTCCATAGTTAAATCTAACTGCAAGATGGTTTACATATGGAGAGACCCTAAAGACACTTTCATCTCAATGTGGACTTTCTTACACAAGGAGAAGTCACAAGAGGGACAGCTAGCGAGTCTTGAAGAGGCTTTTGATATGTTTTGTAAAGGTTTGTCTGTGTACGGTCCTTATCTGGATCATGTGTTGGGTTACTGGAAGGCTTACAAAGAGAATCCGGAGAGGATTCTGTTTCTTAGGTACGAGACGATGAGAGGTGAGCCTTTGCCGTTTGTGAAGAGGTTGGCTGAGTTCATGGGGTATGGGTTTAGTGATGAGGAAGAGGAGAGAGGTGTTGCTGAGAGTGTTGTGAAGCTTTGTAGTTTTGAGACGTTGAAGAATCTTGAAGCTAATAAGGGAGATAAGGAGAGGGAGGATAGGCCTGCTGTTTATGCGAATAGTGCTTATTTTAGGAAAGGGAAGGTTGGAGATTGGGCTAATTATCTGACTCCGGAGATGGCTGCTCGTATTGATGGGTTAGTGGAAGAGAAGTTCAAAGATACTGGCTTGCTTCAACATGATCAGTGAAAATGTGTTCTCTTCTGTTTTTTTTTTCTGTTTTTCAGTACAAAACAGAGGATGCTCTGTTTTTCTCTATTTGGTTCTGTATTGTCCCTTAACAAGAGAAAGATCTTTGATTTATGATCCTCATTGAAATTAAAAGACACTTTCTTGATTCAACATGATCAGTAAAATGTGTTTGATATGTCCTCTTCTGTTTTTTGTTTACTCAACTATTCAATACACAACAGAGGATGCTCTGTTTTTTCTAGTTGGTTCTGTATTGTCTGTCTGTCCTCTTATTTACAACAAGAGAAAGATCTTTGACATGATCCTAATATATTGACTAATAATACATACTTATCCAACACATTCAGTGCTACTTCATCTCTGTGCATGAGTAGAAAAGAGATTGAACACACAAGCTCCAAAAGATGAAGACATATCCAGCAAACATGAATGGCTACAAAGCCAATACCTTTTTGTATATACCATAAGCAAGATCTCTTTATTTATTCAAATATATAACTTTTATTACATTATAAAATGTCTGCTGCAAACAAGCAATTATATCTCAGAAATAAGAACCAGTCATATACTAATTTCAAGCAAACCTGTATCCTTGAACTTCTCTTCCATGATCCCATCAATACGAGCAGCCATCTCTAGAGTCAGATAGTTAGACCAATCTCCAACCTTACCTTTCCTGAAAAAAGAGCTATTTGGGTAAACAGCAGCACGGTCCTCCCTCCCTTTCTCTCCTTTATTAGCTTCAAGATTCTTCAACGTCTCAAAGCTACAAAGCTTCACAACATTCTCAGCAACCCCTTTCTCCTCTTCCTGTGCCGTGAATCCAAACCCCATAAACTCAGCTAATTTCTTCACAAAAGGCAAAGGCTCAGCTCTCATAAGCTCATACTTGAGGAACAAAATCTTGTCTGGATTCTCTTGGTAAGATTTCCAGTACCCCAAGACATGATCAAGGTAATGACCGTACCAAGACAGACCTCGACAGAACATATCAAAAGACTCCTCGAGGTTGCTTACAGGACCAAGTTCTGTCTTTGCTTTGTGCAAAAATGTCCACATGGAGATGAAAGTGTCCTTTGGATCTCTCCATATGTAAACCAACTTACAACCCGATCTCACAACCGATTCCGGTAATAACTCGTAAGGGATGTGAGTTGAAAACAGAGTGTTGTTCCCTTTGTCTTTGAGAACATCGACTTGAGGGAAGAAGGAGACGGCGAACTCAATGTAAGGAACAAGCTCGTGAGGGTTATGTCGGAGGAGAGGGCTCGAGGAATGGTCGAAGCGGGCTCTATTGGCTATAGCGAAAGTTAGAGCTTTGAGCCAAGTGGTACCTGTCTTTGGGTAGCTACACACGAGGAAGTGGTTGGGTCTTGCTTGGAAGAACTCTTGAGCGCGAAGACAACCTTCGAGAAGAGTTTGTGTCCACCATTTTCCACCGTACTCGATATAGGCTTCTTTCTGCCTCCAGCCTTTCTCGTGAGTAAGCGTGGAGATTAGAGCTTTGTACCGTTCTTGATTCTTTTCGAATTCTGATGACCCGTTCTTGGTCTCGTCCTGGTTCGGCACTGTGGTTAGGCGTTCTGATTCCATTGGAGGCAAAGAGTCTATACGATTTTCTAAGACTTTGTGTGTTTGTGAGGTATGAGTGATAGTTTGTGTTCAGAAACAGCTAGGAGTTGGTTTAAATAAGCGTGCATGTCGATCCGCATTGGCCATCTTAGTAATAAAAAATAAATACTTCTTTTGGAAGTATGATTTCAATGCAAAATCTATTAAGTTTATATGATATTATATTTTTATTAGTTGAAATGTAATTAAATTTATTATATAATAATGATTTTTATTTTGAAAATATGTAAAATTAAATATATATATATATATATTTAATTTGTGTTAAAAATTTAAAATAACAATTAAAATAAAACTGAGTAGAAGATTAGGATCAGTTTGTTAAGCTAGAAGCCTATGTGGTTGCCTAATGAAGCTGTTTCTACCCACGTCTTAGTCTCTGATTCGTAGGGTGTTGGTTTGGTGGGACAATGCTTTCAATAAGTAGCTTTCTCTTTAAACTTTTCACCTAAACTATTTTATTTCATTTGTTTTCTATATAGTTTTACACTCTTCGGTTTTCACTAGCATACAATTTTCGTCTAGTTACTTGATTAAGAAAAGAGTCTCTAACTACTTTCAGCTATATCTTGCAGATAACAGCAGCTCCAGTTCAAGTATATATCAATCACAGTAAAGTTTGGACTTACTACTTGGCCACAGTTTCACGTTACAGCCGCATTCTCGGTTGTCTTATTGTCGATGTTCATCTCATAACCTAATTCCAAGACTTGGCCTGGTCTATGGCATATCTCAGTAAGAGAAAAAACTTTCGCCTATGACATCTATTCTTGTAGAAAAAAGATCAAGGATATATTTTTTATTAATATTATGTTGAGATCAAAGGTATATATAATTATAAGAATACAACGATTTATAATTAGGACTAGGTGTTTTACCCGCATTTGTGGGTCTAAATATTTTATAATTATTTTATTAATACTATTTTATCAAAATATATTTTCACATAACATCACAATATATATCAGAATTATCTTATTTAAAAAATATTATTTAGATTTTGGATAATTCTTATGATTTTTATTAATTTTATTTACTTATCTAATCAAAATAATTTAAATTTGTTTTTATTTTGTATGTAATTATATATTATTTTCATTAAGGGTATCAACGATATTAACCACTCTAATTTTTAACGTGGGAGCTCTGTTACGAAAAATCACTTCGCAAATAAATTAATTGTGTTTTACTTTTTTGAAACCAATAATATTTATACTTCATTTAACAGTTCTTACGTATATTTCTTTGTAATTTATGTTCACTATTAAAAATAATTTTAAAATCAAATAATATATTTTCGATTATATAAAATTAAGAAGTTGACTTGATTAATATTTAGTTATGTATTTTATATTGTTTTAATTGTTAACTTTTTTATCAAAATATATTTTCACATAACATCACAATATATATTGGAATGATCTTATTTTTAAAAATATTATTTAGATTTTGGATAATTTTTATTAATTTTATTTACTTATCTAATCAAAATATTTTAAATTCGTTTTTATTTTGTATGTAATTTATATATTATTTTCATTAAGGGGAAAAATGATATTAACCACTCTAACTTTTAACGTGGGAGTTATGTTGCGAAAAATCACTTCACAAATAATAGTGTTGATAATTAAGGGATTAGAGTAATTAGGGTGGTTGAAGATCATAGCTTTAGAAAATAGTGTTATTTTAAAGCTAAAGTTCATAAAATTTTAATTCTGACTCCGGAGATGGCTGCTCGTATTGATGGGTTAGTGGAGGAGAAGTTCAAAGATACTGGCTTGCTTCAACATGATCAGTGAAACTGTGTTCTCTTTGTTGTCTTCTGTTTTTTTTTTTGTTATCAGTACAAAACAGAGGATGCTCTGTTTTTCTATTTAATTATGTATTGTCCTTACAACAAGAGAAAGATCTTTGAATCATGATCCTAATTGAAATTCAAAGACACTGGCTTTCTTCAGCATGATCACTGAAAATACGTTGTCTTTGTTTTTTTTTTTTGACAAAAAGATTTTTTGACAAAGAAAATGTTTGTTCTTTGTTCTCTTTCTGTTATTCAATACAAAACAGATGATGCTCTGTTTTTCTATTATTGTTTGTCTGCAATCTGTTTCCTCTTATACAACAAGAGAAGGATCTTTGATATATAATCCTAATAATACCTATCCAACACATTGGGTGCTAGTTCATCTCTGTGCATGATAGAAGGATCTTTGATATATAATCCTAATAATACCTATCTTTGATGGCTATGTATTTTTTTAAGCAAAAAAAGAAAGAAAGACAAAGCCACTACTGTTTTGTATAGAACAGAAGAAATATTCATTATTCATTACAATATATAAGTTATTATATTACAGAATGTAAGCTGTAAACAAGCATACAAAGATCAATAATAATGTCTAGGACACAAGAACAAGTCATTTACCATGTTCAAGCAAACCTGTGTCCTTAAACTTTTCTTCCACGATCCCATCAATACGAGCAGCCATCTCCAGAGTCAGATAATTAGACCAATCTCCAACCTTACCTTTCCTGAAATATGCGCTATTCGCGAAAACAGCAGCACGATCTTCCCTCTCTTTCTTCCCCTTGTTAGCTTCAAGATTCTTCAACGTCTCAAAACTACAAAGATCCACAACTTTCTCAACAACTCCTTTCTCCTCTTCCTCTTCCGTGAATCCAAACCCCATAAACTCAGCTAGCTTCTTCACATAAGGCAAAGGCTCAGCTCTCATAAACTCATACTTCAAAAACAGAATCTTATCCGGATTCTCTTGGTAAGCTTTCCAGTACCCCAAGACATGATCAAGATAAGGACCGTACCAAGACATACCTCGACAGAACATATCAAAAGACTCCTCGAGATTGTTTACAGGACCAAGCTCTGACCTTGCTTTTTGGAGGAATGTCCATAGGGAGATGAAAGTGTCCTTTGGATCTCTCCAGATGTAAACCAACTTACAACCCGACTACACAACTGAGCCCGGTAATGACTGGTAAGGGATATGAGTTGCAAACAGAGTGTTCTCTTTGTCGAGAAGAAAGAAAGGGAGGTTGGCCTCAATGTAAGGAACAATCTCGTGAGGGTTACGTTTGAGGAGAGGGTTCGAGGAATCATCGTCTTGGAAGCGAGATCTATTGGCTATAGCGAAAGTTAAGGCTTTGAGCCACGTGGTACCAGTCTTTGGGTCGTGCTTGGAAGAATTCTTGCGCGTGAAGACAACCTTCGAGGAGATGTTGCATCCACCAGTGACCACCGTACTTGATATAGGGTTGTTCTTTTCTCCAGCCTTTCTCGTGAGTAAACGTGGAGATTAGAGCTTGGTACCGTTCTTGATGCTTCTTGATGCTTCTTGAATTCTGATGACTCTCTCTCGGTCTTGTCATGGTTTGGTACGGTTGTGTCGGTTAAGGGTTTTGATTCCATTGGAGACAGAAGCTATACGAGTTTTGAGGACTTGTGTTGTGTTTTGCGAGATAGGAGTTGGGTTAAATAAGCGCATGTCGATATGTAGTTTCTCATAGGCTATATCTTTTCTTTCCTTCTTTTTTTGTCAACCCTCATTAGCTGTAGCTGTTGTGGTTGCCCTAATGAAGCGGTTTCGAGCAACGTGTTAACCTGTGATTTGCAGGATATTTGTTTGGTGCCACAACGTTTAGAGAACTCCGGGGAAAAGATTCTCAACATTTAAAATAAAATAAAATTAACAAAATTAGGAAAGAACATGCAAAGATAGTGATGTTTTAGTGCAAAAGAAGTGCACTTGTCCTGCTCTTACATTTGAATATTTAATTTTTGATTTTAAACTTCAAACACAGCTCACAGCTGTTAACTACAGAATGTTTCAACTGGTTTTAAGAAGCCAAAAATCTTATAATATTTTTATTTTATTTTATAAACTCACACCAATATTAGCCAATAATGCTACTCAAATAAGTAGCTTTCTCTTCAACTAGACTCTTTTATTTCTTTTGTTTATATTACATAACTACACTCTTTCGGTTGTCCCTCTACATCTGCGGGCTGGGACTTTCACCAAACCATTAAATAAGGTCTCTTTGCGCCAATCTGCACAAGCATAATTCTCCCTCTAATGACTTGATTTTTTAAAAAAAGAATATCCTAACGACTTCTAGCTGTATTTTGCAGATATAGGCAATCTCAATGGGGGTTATTAGACACGTTCTACACATTAAAGTATTGAACATAAATTATAAGTAGTGAACATAAAGAAACTAACTGTCCCCATTGACATCCTCAACAAAAAAGAGTAACATATTCTTTGCATAAATGTCAGTTTTTAATTGGTTTATTTCAATATTGTGATTTAAAATTTAACTATTAACTGCACTATATAAAAAAATATTAATATTAAATTTCTTAGACACCCTTGGGGACATACTCCCTGATGAAAAGCTCTGAGAGTTTTGGATCAGGGGCGGCTCTTGGCATGTGCCAGAGGAGCAAAAGCACATAGTCCGTTTTTTTCTACAGAAAAAATCTTTATATTTAGAGCTCATTTTTGTCGGAAAAAAACCCCTCAAAATATTACTTCAATGCATACTTCAATCTCATCGTATATATTATGCAGAGGGTCCATTTGATATATGGACCGGGCCTGCTCGGATCCCGTCCAATTATCTATCACAATAAAGTTTATTATTGATATATACTTTCTAATGATTTGATTAATTATTGATCTTTCAAATAGTATAGAAACTTTTTTGTCCATAAGTATATTATCTAATAATAACCAAGTAGGTGATTATCTGCACGTATGTACAAGAAAAAATTTATATATTAAAAAAATTGATGTTTGCGTAAGATAAATTAGAAAATATGATATGTTGTTTTAATGCACAATTTTATCATGCACTGATATATATGAAAATAAAAAAGTTATGGGACCTTATTTTTCACTATTTCTCCAGAAATTACAGATCTTATAGGGGTTAATTTATTGAATTAGGTGCAATATGAAGTTTTCTTAAATAACTTATTAAAATATTAGAAACGTTGCCCGTAAACGATGAAAATAAGTTTAACATACATTAATGTTAATGTATAATGTGATTATATATTTTTTTTAATCAACAAGACAGAACTTAAACTTCAGTATATATCATTTATCAAAAAATTTACTCTTTATGTAGGATTAACCTACATACTTCAAGATAAATTAGAAAATATAGTATTTTATTTTAATGCATAGAAGCATCCAGCCCAGATATATGATGAACATCAAGGATTTCTGAACCTTTGTTGTCTCATTTTTTCTAGAATATAGAAACTTCATTGGGTTTAGTTCTTGGATTTATGAGGTATATGAAGTTTTATTAAATTACTCGTTGGAAAATTATAACTGATACCCATGTACCTTGAAAATAAATTTATACATTAGTATAAATTTTTAAGGTGATTAGATATTTTAAACAGCACTAAAGAGGTTAAACTTAAGTACAAATAACATATATCAGAAAACTCGATTTTTTCGTAGGGATTAGAAAAAAATGAAATTTTATATTTATGCATAGCTGCATCCAACACTGATATAGGATGAATAGCAAAGAGTTTTGATACATTAGTTGTCCAAATTTATCTAGAAAATAGAGATTTTATAAGGTTTAGTTCATTGATTTAGTGGTATATGGAGTTTTTTAAATTTTACGGTTGAAAATTAGAATTTTTGCCCATGTACCATGAACATACGTTTACTATATTAATAGAAATTTTTAATGTGGTTACGTATTTTTAAACAAAACTAAAGGAATCTATATATAACATTTATTGAAAAACTCAATATTTTGTATGGGTTAACCCACTTATTTCAAGATAAATTAGATAATATGGTATTTTTGTTTTAATGAATATGTGCATCATGCACTTACATAGTATGAAGAATAAAGAGGGTTGAGACCTTAGATGTTCTCATTTCTCCAAAAATAGAGTTTTTATAGGGACTAGTCCACTTATTAGGTTGTATATGAAATTTAAACAAATTACTCATTGGAAAATTACAAAATGATGTTTATGTACCATGAAAAATAAGTTTAACATACATATATATAAATTTTGAGTGCGGTTATGTATTTTTAAACAACCATAAAAAGACTAAGTAGTATATATAGTATTTTCCGAGAACTTCAATCTTTTTGTAGGGTAACAACCCACATATTTTAAGATAAAATAAAAAAAATGGTATTTTTGTTTTAATGAATAGTTGCATCATGCATTGACATAATATGAAAATTAAAGAGGTTTGAGACTTTAGATGTTCTCATTTCTCTGGAAAATAGAGATTTTATAGGGATTAGTATACTAATTAGGTCGCAAAAAATTTATTCGTTGGAAAATTAGAAATGATGCCCATGTACCATGAAAATATGTTTAGAATAAATTAATATACATTTAGAGTGTGGTTATGCATATATTAAAAACATTAATGAGGCCAAATTTAGTATATATATAACATTTATTGGAAAAAACTCGATATTTTTGTAAGATAAATTAAAAAAAATGATATTTGGTGTTAATACATAAATTTATCATGCAGTGACATGTGATAAAAATTAAAAAAAACCCAAGAATTTTTAGTTTCCGTCTCTCCAGAAATTACAGATTTTATAAGGGTTAGTCCACTTAATTAGGTGGAATAGAAATTTTATTAAATTACTCATTGAAATATTAGACACGATGCTCATGTACCATGCAAATAAGTTTAACATAAATTAATATAAATGTATAATGTGATTAGGTATTTTTACTCAACATAAAAGAGTTTAAACTTCAATATATAATATTTATCGTAAAACTGGATATTTTTGTAGGGGTTAACCCACATATTTCAAAATAAAGTAGAAAATATGATACTTCTTTTAATCCATAGATGCACCCAACACAGATATATGATTAAGATCAATGATGTCTGACACATTTGTTGCTCCATTTTCTCTAGAATATAGAGATTTCATAAGGTTTAGTTCTTTGATTTATGTGGTATATGAAATTTTATTAAATTATTCGTTGAAATATAACTGATGGCCAGGTACTTTGAAAATAAATTTTGGAAACATTAGTCTTAATTTTTTGTGTGGTTACATATTTTGAAACAACACTAAAGAAATTAAATTGAAGTACAAATAACATTTATCGAAAAAACTCGATCTTTTCATAAGGATTAATCCATTGATTTTAAGATACGTTAGAAAAAAATACAGAATTTATGTATTTATACATATGTGCATCCAACACTGATATAAGATGAATATCAAAGAGTTCTGATACTTTAGTTGTTCAAGTTTTTCTAGAAAATAGACAACAGGACATTCAAAGAAATTGACTTGCTTTAACATGATCGATGCAAATGAGTTGTCTTTGATCTCTTCTGTTCTTCATGTTATTCAGTACAAAACAGAGGATGTTCTGTTTTACTATTTGGTTCTGTATCATCTTATTTATAACAAGAGAAAAATCCTTTGTTTGTGATCTAATAATACCTATCCGACACAGTCAGAGTCACTTCATCTCCATACATGAAGAGAAAAGAGATTAAAAAGTTAAGTTCCACAAGATCATGCCATATCCAGCGAAGGTGAATGGTTATTATAATATTCTGGTTTGTAGTATATGTTATTAGAGTAACTTATACTTCGGTCATACATCTAGAAAAAAACTCTGCTTAAACTGGAATAGTAAAGAAGTAAGGTCAAAACACAGAGAAATTCATGTGGTAATTACAGTATGAATTAACAAGTATTTCGAGCTTCCCAAAAACTAAAGCATCACCCGTCACATGGAATGGAACCCGGCCGAGTGAACAGGAAATACATTAGTTGTAATCGGTTGGGGCGTTACATGCTACAAAGACAATACCTTTTTGTATAGAACATAAGCAAGATTCATTATTTATTACAATATATAAGTTATTACATTACAGAATGTCTGCTGTAAACAAGCATACAAAGATCAATAATGTCTTAGGACACAAGAACTAGTCATTTACCATGCTCAAGCAAACCTGTATCTTTAAACTTCTCCTCCATGATCCCATCAATACGAGCAGCCATCTCTGGAGTCAAATAATTAGACCAATCTCCAACCTTACCTTTCCTAAAATAAGCACTATTCGCATACACAGCAGCACGATCTTCCCTCTCTTTCTCCCCCTTGTTAGCTTCAAGATTCTTCAACGTCTCAAAACTACAGAGATTCACCACTTTCTCAGCAACACCCTTCTCCACTTCCTCTTCCGTGAATCCATACCCCATAAACTCAGCTAGCTTCTTCACATAAGGCAAAGGCTCACCTCTCATAAACTCATACTTCAAAAACAGAATCTTATCAGGATTCTCTTGGTAAGCTTTCCAATACCCCAAGACATGATCAAGATAAGGACCGTAACCAGACAAGCCTCTACAAAACATATCAAACGCCTCCTCGAGGTTATTCACAGGACCAAGCTCTGACCTTTCTTTATGTAAGAACGTCCATAAGGAGATGAAAGTGTCCTTGGGGTCTCTCCAGATGTAAACCAGCTTACAACCCGACTTCACAACCGAATCAGGTAACGACTCGTAAGGGATATGAGTTGAAAACAGAGTGTTACCTTTATCTTGGAGAACATCGACTTGAGGGAAGAAAGGGAAGTCTATCTCAATGTAAGGAACAAACTCGTGAGGGTTACGTTTGAGGAGAGGGTTCGAGGAATCATCGTCTTGGAAGCGAGATCTATTGGCTATAGCGAAAGTTAAGGCTTTGAGCCACGTGGTACCTGTCTTTGGGTAGCTACATACGAAGATGTCTTCAGGTCGTGCTTGGAAGAAGGCTTGCGCGTGAAGGCAGCCTTCGAGGAGAGGTTGTACCCACCAGTGACCACCGTAGGAGATGAAGGGCTGTTTTGGTCTCCATCCTTTCTCGTGTGCGAACGTGGAGATTAGGGTTTGGTACCGTTCTTGATTCTTCTCGAACTCTGATGGTTCGGTCTTGGTCTCCTCGTCTTGGTTCGGTACGGTCGTGTCGGTTAAGTGTTCTGATTCCATTGGAGACAGAGGAAAGAGACAGAATTTTGAGTACTCGTGTGATGAGTGATTGGTCTGTGTTCGGACAAAGATTCGGATTGGGTTTTATGTAATGAAACTATTTTCACCCACGTGTTAGTTTTTGATTCGTAGGTTGCTGGTTTGGTGGCACATGCGTAAAATATGTGCCCTGATTAAGAAGAGTCTCTATTTTGTCATCTATTTGGATTGGTTTGCAACTTTGCATTAATGGATTAATAACATTTACAATCTACAAATATAGGCCCAGCTTACAAGTTGCAGGTACTTTTTGTTCATCCGTACCCAATATACATAGTGCATATACTAACAAGATTTAGAATTTTGATTGGGCTAATATCTGTTTGGTTCCGAAGGAAGATACGGTTAATTACAGAAAATATATTTAAGCTCAAAATAACTTACCTGTTCACTGATTGAGTCTACCATGCTAATAAGAAGTTCTACTTTGTTAAGTTTTAATGTTAGTAAATGACAATCATGTATCACATCAAATTTTTCTTAAAAATTCAGAACGTAATTTTTAATGGTATTGTTGACTATATGAAAAGATAAAAATTTGTTCAAAAAAAAAAAGAAAAGATAAATTAATACAATAATTTTGTGTAAGGCTTCAACAGTAATTAACAAGTGAGATGATGATACTGAATCATAAATATAACAAATCAAAATCTTATTTTTATATGGAAGAAATATAAGTTTGTTTTGAATGACGTGAATATCTGTATTTTTAGAATACAAAACATTGTAGAATCTAATGACAACTGGAAGAAAACCATGTAGCATATTATGCTTTCAGATGTGAAGAGATGTACTGTATGAAACTATGAATTATCTCAATCCAGACTCCATAGCCTCTTAATCAATTCTTAAATAATCACAAATGTTGGTCCCGGGCCAATATGTGAAATTAAGATCCAGCATAACTCCATCCGTGCAAATAAAAAACTCTAAAAATAAACAAATGAAAACACTGCAACAACATGGTGTGGCCATAGTTGTCTGAATCCATAAAGAAACCTCCACTTTACCAACTCTTGTAGTTTTGCGTAGATAATTTGTTTGTAATCATGTAATAAGACTAACAAAAAAAAAAAGAGGAAGTACAATCACTTTTGTCGAGGAAGGCTCGGAGTATCATAGAATGTTAGATGGTGATTTCACTTTCTAATCCGCAACAGGAATCCTTAGGGGGAATACTTAGGAAAGAAGAAAAAGTGTATTTCAGATTATATAAAGATATTTTGGATTATTTCTTTAAAATAAAAAAATTTGACCAATCTTGGACCGACACGTGGGCAGTGGAGCCCATGAATAGTGTAAGGATTCATCCAAATCAATCCTTACATAAGGATTTTATTCCTAAAATCCTTAACTGTTCATGGGACCCATTGATTATAAAATTAATATTTTCTTAAGGATTTTCCCTAAGGACTCCTTGTTGCGGGTGGTCTAAAAAGCAAATCACGTTTATACATTTTTACTATGTATACACTTGTTTAACTTATAATTGTAACGAAGTGCGTCAGAAAGATAGTACCAGCCTACCAGGGGAATCACACCAACAAATAAAAGACGTTATTATATGGTGATCACTATGTTCGAGTTAGTAGGAAAATGGAATCAAGCAGATCTCATGCGAATAAGTGAATAATGTTATAGAATAAAGAAGAAGGTTGTAACTCTGTATATCTTATTCATCACGTGCACATACATATATATACATACAAGAGAATAAGCATATTCCTTAGGAGATAAGGATTACAACAATAAAGGGGATGATTATCCTAATCCTATAATGATTAGGATAACTACAACATATGGATAAATACAAGGGAGGATAGTGACTG